TGTCTGTCTGTCTGTCTGTCTGTCTGTCTGTCTGTCTGTCTGTCTGTCTGTCTGTCTGTCTGTCTGTCTGTCTGTCTGTCTGTCTGTCTGTCTGTCTGTTGTAACCAACTGTTCCTGCACGCTACGTAGACCCAAGAAAACAGTTGGGGCGTGGTCCTGGATGGGTAAGAAGTTGTCCTTAGAGCACGTACGGTTGGCTAAAAGCGGACACGGTGTGGGCGGAGCCCGAACCTTGTGGGCGGGGCGGTAGTTCAGAATACCAAAAACTGAGGCCAATGCCCTAGTTTGGGGATACTTTAGTTTTTCGCTGCAGCACATGAAGCGAATCATTTATTAGCGCTACAAATATAACAGTAGACAAACATGAAATAGAACCCGTTCAAAATGATTTTTCTACATATACCTGTACAGAATGCTTACCAAAGAAAAGATCCTTATCACATGATAATACCACTTTACAGATATGATATGCTGTCATAAGGAGCATAACGCTAGAAACTGATGAACTCAGTCGTCATAAAGCCGATTTCGGTAATGAGATTCGTGGATTTCACGTACAATAGCATTACCATTATTACAACAGATTCACATCAGGTCATTATCAAAGTAGATTTCACGTACTCCTCTTAGTAGGAGACGGATTTGATGTAATAATAAAATCCGGACCTAAAGGCAGTGTTCACTTCGGAAGTCCACAACTGTTTTCTCGCTATCTCAGAAAATTCACGGCAATTGAACCTTAGAATGAGCATCTCAGGTGATTCACCTGCTTCTGAGTGAATTTTCTAAAGTACTGGAAACCGCATGAGGACGAATTTTTGTCGCATCCTTGACCAAATTAACACTCATTTTCGTTCCTTCTAATGTAAATGGAAGGATTACCGCGATCTTTGCCCAATCGTCCATCTTTTCTACCTTACGTGATCTGTTTTTTTTTTTTCCAAATTAAAGACTTATTCCATATTGAAGCTCTTCTAGGAGTAAGGGGGAGCTGCGCGCGAATATGGGAAATAGGGAGCTTCCGACAGAAGGGGCTTGTTGCGTGGTGAGAAGGCAGAGACGCAGACGGGTCAGCGGACGAGTCGCAGCGCGTGCTGTGTGATGTGAGACATCAATAGACTATTTGTCTTGAGGCGAAATACGGAACAAACTGCAACTCGCCGCTGAACCAGCCTCTGCCTTATTCGCCGGCCAGCGAGGCCTTCTGTCGCTACCTGAAAATGTGCCGCACTGGCGGTCGGAAGTGTATTTGAATGACCTCAGGGCCTCGTTATTTTGCAAAACGACAGGCTCTACAGCTGTCATTTGAGCACAACAATCTTATCGGCAGCGCATCAGCCATATCGTTTGCGCTCTCTCCTGCAGCGCCCTGTGGCTCTTCGTCATACAGTCGCCTACAGCCCAAAAGTAGGCCTTCAATCCCAGTCCTTTCTACGTTCTCGTTTCTTCTTTATCCACTGGCGGTACAACTGACATTCCCTTGTTTCACTTTTGATCAATCTTGTTGTTGTGGAATTTGTCCTCCATGTTACTGCAAAAGAGTATAATCATTCCATAAAAGAATCGAGGGGCGGGGCGAGATGCGGAGATAGGCGGGGTCTGGTAAGCGATCTAACCGCCGTTATCCTACCTATTCCTAGAATGGTTCAATATACCACTACAAAACCCTCACTTCCCATTCGAAGGAATGGGTTTAACATCAGCGAAATTTAGCGGAACCTCAATAATGAACACTGCCCTAGGCAAAAAGTTACATATGACTGGTAAAGTTCTATTTCAAGGCTTTCTATTTCACTTGATTTCTTCTTCCCTGATCGTTGTCCCTGTGAGACAATGTTCGAGATCCGATTCGGTCCGAGAAGCACCACGTAAACTCATCTGCCGTCGGTTACAGATGTGTCTGTGCGGTATCCTGATAGAATTTCATACTGGTGTCGGATCGTTTTTTCTGAAGCGGAGTAGTGACTCCATTAGTTGAGGTATACCGTACCGCACTCGGTGATGACCGATCGATTATCGTTTTTGCCATGTCACCAACGCTTCGACCAGCGTTTGACCTAAAAATTACTTGTTTATTTATTTATTTACCTCTATTATTCTTTGCCTACAAAATGAGATAAAAATCAAAAAAAAACTATACAAAGTCAATAAAAATGTTAAGAAAAATTTCGGACGAGTTATACGTAATGGTGAATAAATTTAAAAAAAATATTCTTTGCGCATAAGGTCTAACAATCAAATAAGAAAAGCATTGGTAAGGATTTCATAGAACCAACAGCTTATAAGGTGGAGGAGGGCACCTGGCCAGAAGAGAGGTGGACCCATTCCATGGAGAGGGGGGGGGGGCAATGGCAGCCAGCATTGCAAGCTGCAGGAGGAAGGCGCGGCTCCGGGTACTAGCTTAGAAGGTGCCCCAATCTCTTCAGAGGACACACAAGAGTGCGAAGGTGGTTCAGGTACAAGAAAAGACACAATAAAAAGAAGCAAACGAACAGATATTAGGAGGCAATACTACAGGATAAGTACAAGCTCTTCATAAGAGAAAGGCTAGGAATCGCGCATGGAAGCTGAAAATTGAGCTATGAAATGCACAGAAGTTTTCCTTGAAGGCAAAGGTCAGGCTTAGGCGACCAAACCAATCCCTCCTCATCATCTCTGTGCGTGGTTACCGTACCCTTAAAGACGTTGCCGCGCTCAGAATCCCAAACGGCGCGGCAATAAAGCCCCAGAAGATGCATTGTTCGCTATAGCCGCCTGGCAGACCGCTATTCCGCCCACTCCGAAGTGTGCGCGCCTTCTCACTTATAAATCAGCTGGTGATGGCCGTATCAACCGCCAGCCAGAGCGAAAATGTGCCGTCCAGAAAACTTGTTTGTACGTGCCTCTTTCCCAAGCCAGCCTCCTTCACTGCTAGTGGGAAAGAGGGTTTTGTTAACGACCTTGTCGACGGTTTTTCTCAGTTTTTTCTCCACTGTCGTTCCACTTCGCATCTCTATACTCAGTTTCAATCGCCATAATACCCCATTATTGAGCTCCATCTTTGTTTTTAAGATACCTTTTCTAGCGCCACATTAGTGCTCGATACTCAGGTAAACGTTAAAGCGATCGTAAACGATTCACGCCACGGGGGCGCGGCGCACGGCGTCGCGCGCGGCATTTGCAAGAAAGTACCATATTCGAATCAAGCTCATTTGCCCACGCTCAACCACTGTACAAAGGTGCGCTACGTGGGAAGTCACGATTCCTCTCCCATTTCATTTTCCACGAAATTGCGAACTGCTCCGTACTTAGAACTTTCAAAAAAAGGAGATAAAAACCAATAGCACTATTTCCATTTCGTCTCGTAAAGTATACAGCATTAGGCCAAGTCCAAGTGAATGATCCACTTCAAGGGTTCTACAGTAACCCGAGAGAGCCAGCTATCAAATCTGCTCGCTGCCAAAGGTGCTATCTTTTCAGTTTCAGTGGTTCCTATAATATTTACGTTATTTACAGTGACACCGTTCAGACACCCATGCTTCGCTGAAGTACTAGGAGAACTTTTGATACCTTCCGACCATTCTATAAAGGGCGTTAGGAAGCGAATGTAACAAATTCACTAATCCTTCGACCGCGGTGAAAACAGATGCGAACTATGTTGGGTACGATACACACATGGTGGGGTGAAGAGGGTAGATGAACTGAAGGCTTGTAAAGGAGCGCCAGAAAAGCAAGGTTCCCAAGTTCTGTTCGATACGCTTTAGCATAAAGCATTGCGAACATTAACACCTCTATGTCATTATTAAAATGAAGAGGGACATAAAGGATTGGGATCAGGAAAGTGAATAACGTGAACAAAGCCTAATAATAGCCGTCAACAATCCAGTCCCATTTTACCGCATGCTACCCGGTTTGTCTATTCTCGCCTCGTGTGACCGACTTCATACTCGTACGTGATAAAGGTAGCAATCTGTGTTAATGATGACATTACGGAAATGTCATATTTACCATTGAATCTGACATTCACAATGACAACGGTCTTTAAGCGAATGATACACACCCCCATCGATCGAAGAACCATCCTTGAATGTCCAGCAAAACATCAAACATCCTTACTTTCCCACTCTGACTCTTTCCCACTTCCGTGGTGGTTTGGTTTTAAGCGCAAGCATGTCGGTCTTCCAAAAAAGTGTGGATGTTTGTGAAATCACTTATTATTTGAAAAAGTTCGGAATAAAAGGACATTTGGATTCGGGACAGACAAAATAGAGAGCGTGGGCGTTGTTAGGGGTTCCACAAGTTGGGCCGTTTATTGAGGTCTACAGTTGTGGTGCGTTGGAGTTCTCCTCCTAAGCTCAACAAGTCACCTAAAATTGGAGACACTATCATTTACTCGGAGCAAGCTTAGGACTAAGCCCAATCATGAGCTTAAGCGTAAGCCTAAATCTCAGTCTAAACCCAAGCTTAACCTTAGGTTTTAATGATCGCGCAACTCTGACGACCTGACCTGAGGAGGAGAACCGAATGTCTCTCCTACAGTGATAGCGCTCAGTAGTATACGCTACCTAGACCGGTAAACTATTCGGTAAAAGAGCCTACCTTGCGGTCTTCATGTCAGAGTTGTGATTGTTCGTGTTCACCATCGTCACAACGCTCATATGGTCCTCATTGCCCGTGTGTTCATTTTTCATCTGGAAGAAATGGACCTTCTTTTAGCCGCTAAATGTCATCCGATACAAAAAATTGTTTAGCATTTCTCACTGGTTCTCAGTTGGTACTGTACAAGTGATTATGATTTTAGCGCGACAAATGATCAAACGTCCTTACACGCAAAATTCATTAATTTCACTCATCACATGCAAGACACATGAACAAAGGATAAGAATTAATTATACAACAAACTTAAAAGCAACGAGGCAAAGCAAACAAAACAATTGCTGACATAATGCGACTAAAGGCAACCTGTTGTTTATTTTCAGCAAGGTTTTTTTTAAAACATCTGTAAATTGTTTATGACATACCTGAAGTTGGGTATTGAGAAGTCCATAGAGAATCCAATTCGATGAACTCCCGAAATACGGTAATAAATGGACGCAATATATCACAAACAGGAGTAATTCACTATTCGTCGTTGGCAAGCCAACCAATGACATCACTATGGCGTAGAGTACGGAGAACCTTTAAAAAAATATATATTGAGAATGAAATATCCTTTGCGCACCCCTTAAAGGAATCTTCCACGGACCATGGACCAGTGGGCGGGACCGGAAGTTTTTGTGACGAAATGCATGGTAGGTACGGATCCACGTGTCGAACGCACGAACGTGAACAGGATTCACTTCAAACCTTCCCATGAACGTGGATCCGTACCTACCATGCATTTCGTCGCAAAACACACTTCCGGTCCCGCCCACTGGTCCCATGTCCGTGGAAGATTCCTTTAAACTAACCAGTAGGGTGTCCAGCAGACAAAATAGACAGCTGCAATTAAAACCGTATACATAACGACTCGTCGAAGTGGTATGGAAGATCGTGGCAGCACTCTGCAATCATATCCATTTACTACAGAAATCCTGTCGGAGATCCTTTTTTTAGGCATGAAAATAGCTGACCTTTTATGAACGTACAGCTTACGAATAAGCTTCCAATTGAAGAACACAATAAGAATCAACGGCACGACATAACCAAGAATGAATGTTCTGAAAAGTAGCAAAATCGTCCCGATTCTTCCTTAAATTTTTAATTTCTGCTGGAAAAGGTACGGAATCCAGGGCTCATATCCTATAGTTTGTCGATTATTCCACTCGATCCCCGGGAACTTTCCCGAAAGCCTATATTTGATTTCAATCCTCCGCTCGTTTCCCACATCTCAAAGTCTTTCGATTTGAGACTCTCACGGTTTTTCATGAATTTTCCTTCTCACGCACATCTTTTTTTTTTTTTAACCTTCCGTTCTCAGGTCACTTACACGGAGGTCCGTTGTTTTTGTGGAGATAAAACATCACTTCCACACCCGTTGGATCACTCTGCACCCGATCACCCCATTCGAGGATAAAGGGTAAAAGGATAAAATATTTGCCGTTGATCAATCCCCTTTTTTGATGCTCCACGCGTTCTGCTCCCATTCAGAACCGTAACGCCAATTGAGTGCGATTTGGCCTATACACATGACTTTGCCTGGGAAGAAGCCACTAATTCATGTCCCAGCGGTCTTTAAGCCTCCCAGAACAGCTCGTATCAATCAACGATCGCCGGAAGGATGGAAGAGCTCAGCCTGGCGCCGGGCAACACAGGACCGCCAGGATTCGAACCACGTCACAGCGCGCGTGTAAGCAATCACCAACTTGCCGCGGCAGCATCACCATTTCGCCATTGCAGGTGTTAATGTGGTAATTACATGGCATAGAATGCATCAAGGCAGCATCAAAAACATCGAAAATGCACAAAGGGTGAAAATTTCCTGAGTCCTTGAATGTGTGCGCCACTGATTCCGCACAAAATACTTGACTGCAAAGTGCACTCCCGGTTGGTATCCCGCGACGTCGTTAACGTCCCCCTCCCCCCCACCCCCGCTTTCTTGTCCATAATTGGTTGTATGTGGAACCTGGTTCTCATTCCCGCCCAATATCTTGTGAAATCGAAAAGAACAGGTCGTTTGAGATGAGGATGGAGTAAGTGAGTGCGCAGCGTAATTCTTTTTTGGGATGGGCCACGCAACCCAATTCCAATGTGAACAACGTTGGTCGTTTTCTGATGCGATCTGAACATAATATATTTTTTGCAAAAGAGCCGTACATGTGAGCACCTTTACTGTATCTCAGGAAAGTCAGGTACCAGTCGATAAACCCCAAGGCATGAAGTCTGGTATCGGCTCAACGACGCAATGCTAAGAATATTTAATTCTGCCCGTGCGGTTGTAACCAGCTTTGCGCACTACACTGTTCGTGCTCTTTATTTTTACGCACGCGGTGAGAATCAACAACTAGTCGTTGAATGTAACCCAATAGAAATCGGCGCGGCATCATATCCGAACCATTTGTAAAGACTCCCGAAACCCGTGTAATGTTGAAGCTGTCCAGTGCTTTCAACTCGTGCAGCACCATCTCCCTTCGCTCGGGCGTAGGTAAGCATCGGTAAAAGAAGAAAGAACGCCAGAATTGAAAGACCTGGAAAACAAAAGGAGATCAGCATTGTCGAATGAATTCACAAGAAAATTACGCATCATTATTTCCAAGCTACATTCCTCACAAAAATTGCAAATTGGGAGCAAGTACTTGATGGACGGAGCATGCACCGAAACAGGCGGGGATTACCATGAGATCTACGGACCACTCCAGAGGCACTATAGAGATACCGAAAAAGCGAACAATGGTTTCCGAAGGAGCGAGATCAAAACCTACGGCATGCAACGTGTGGGTGGAGCTAATAGCCCAAAAGCCGAATATGGTCCAGAGGATAAAGATCCGAGAAGAAAGGCATAGAAATCTATCGAGAGAGGGAAGGCCCACTTATTTTTTATTTATTTTCAAAACTATTTTAGATCGAAATCTTGTTTTTCTCGCTTTTAGTAATGCATTTCACAGAGAATGTGTAACAACAAAAAAAATTGTCGGGGAACCGAATTTTTGGAGAATCGGTTCTAAAAGCTTCTAAAGCCCCATGGGTGTCAGGCGGTCACAGATAGCAACTTGGGCAGGCGGTCCAGAAGGCGAACGGCGACGCAAGAGTAGGCACGAAAAGTCGCGCCGTAATCTATATGCCCTCGCCGCGCGGTAGGCCTTCTGTCGGGTACCCGGTCGAGAGAGATGGATAGACCCTCTAAGCCGTCTAGAACGCAGATTCTTAAAGCAGAAAAACGCGCCTCGCGCTGTTACTTTGGGACTTTCCGCCTCTTGTTTTGTACAGTTTCCCCTTCTTCTACCTCACATTTATTTGATCACCTGCCGTCGATGTATCTTTGCGAATTGCAGCATATATAGTATGGAAAAAGTAGAAATATTGCAGAACTTCATGAATTGAAACTCACAGCTGATCACTCCGAGAACAAAGGATCGACTTCGTAAGTAGGTGTGATGCGGATGGCATATGGCCACGTAGCGATCGAAACTCATCGCTGTGATCAGAAACGTGGACACGATTCGACCCACCGAGCCGCACACATGATGCAGCTTACACATCCATGTGCCGAAGATCCAGAAACCAATAACACTGTCCTAAAATTGCTTCTTCTGAGCATCCTTCACTGGCTAGCATCATTTTACTTACACATCATATCAAAGTTCGAGATGATAGCTATTGCGGGTAGCCCAAATATTGAGGGTAGGGTAGCCCAGGTATTGAGGGTAGGCACTCATTTGATATTTAGGCAACTCTATTCATAAAACAGTGCAGCAGAAAGGAAATATGCTAACGTTGCAGCGAAATCATGTTGTGGGGAAAGGGGTGGATCTTACGCGATTCGAGACAGCGTTTATACTTGCATAATGTAGCCCGTACCCACCGCGCGACTCCTCAACTGGGTTAGCGCTGCACTGCTAATTGACGTTCCTGCTCATATCCTGCCAACAAAATACCGCTCCTTCATCTACATCGTAGCCAACAAATACTATTTTATTTTCTGAAAGCCGTGTGACTTTCTCCAGGGAAGTTTTTGCGTACAAACTCAACAATTCTACTGAAAATTCAATTCTTTCTGCTGATAATGATTTTTACTGGTAATTCAAAAACTCACTAAAATAGCCGGTGGAAGACTGAGGCTCATCAGAAAATCGCAAACACATAAGGCGGCTATGTAGAGGATGGCGTTATCGCCTTGTCGCCGTGTTCTCGCTCGTCGATCGGCCATCACACCACGTATCAGCGTCAGAATGGACGAGTTTCCGCAGACACCGACAACGAAGCACAGTACGAATACCACTACTACCAGCAGAACCTTCGGTTGCAGTTCCTGAATAAAACAATGATCTTTGATTTTGTCGCATTTTTGAATTCGGAAAAATTTTTGTGAACTTCCATCATTTCTTATTTTGTATGGGTACATGTACATGTACTATGATTTGGTTCATTTATAGTATTACTGTTGGCATTCCGATGGTTAAATACAGTTTATAATGATATGCGCTCCATTTCTCACTACGTCAAGACCGAGTTCTATCAAAATAGCCGCGTGCGGTCGCGTTGCGGATTGGCGATTGAACGTGGAACCAGGTACATTCACAAAAAAACGGAACAACCTTGTTCTTTTCCCGAATAAGGTGTTTCTCCTTACATTTTTAAAAGCGTTGCCCTCGCTACCCAACAGGTGGCCCATCGCGCAGAATCACCGGACGAGCCGCAGTGCGTGCTGTAGTGATTTTGCGTCAAAATTAAATGTAATGTACGTCATAAATCGTAGAGCACGCACTGTTGCGACCTACGCTCGCATTCTACTCGCTGCACCGTTCATAATGTCCCCAATTTATAAATCACGCCAACGGGCCTCGTGTCGGGCACCCGCCGCCTCGCAACACGAAATGATGACGGACAACGCCTCCAAATAGAGAGGTATTTACAAAATAAGGTACCAGCTGCGTGGGACAATCGGCTGCATTTAACACATCTTTGAAGGCAGCCTCGTAGAAGTTCATATATGAGAGTCCTTTTATATCGTAGTTTTTAATAGTTTCGTGAAGATAATAGGGCTACCGTCCTCATTGACTAACCACAATGTTTTCTATTGTTTGTTTCTTTATAGGCGCGTCAACTGCACGCATGAATAAATAAATAAATAAATAAAATATAATATAAAAAATAAGCAAATAATACGTAATAACTATATCTTATCGTAATGCCAATACATGCGGTCCTTAGAAATGGGTAGCTCCTCAAGTATTTACCCTATTCAGTGTATTTCAGGATGTCGCTGCCATCTCACACAGAGTAACGTTTTATTTAGATCATTGCATTAGCTCCGCGTTACAGTCTCACCATATTTATTCAACCTTGCGTGAAATGTTTTTGTAGCTTTTCTGATTCGGATCATTTGGACATATGACGTAACTGCAGGTTACTGTATAACGATGTTGACCAGACCAGGCGCGTTCTCTCATCACAATCATAAATTAAGGCTTGTTTCCTGGCGTCACTTGAAATAACAATTCATTCCCCGTGCAGAAGACAATAAGAAAGCGTGTTCGGAAAAGTTAGACCTCTGTTTCTAAAGTTTCCAAAACTATAGTGGCAACTTCAAGGGTGAAACATGCGTCGGACGCAGTCACTCTCAAAGAACTTCTGTGCGTCCCCTTTCTAATTACATCAACCGAGCGATACTAATACTGGGGACCCCCCTAACTTTGATTTGATGTGAATAAGCGAGTTCCATTAATGTACAGCAAAGCATTCAGTTGCAGCGCGGTTTGTCCGTGGGTCAGATTTGCCGAAACCCCGCTCGAAACCATCGAAATCTACACTCTCGATGAAAAGGTTTCATTCCCCCATTTCACAACCTTTGGCAGTGTGTGGTAGGGTTAGATAGAGCTGGATTTGCTACTACCGGGCATATTCGAACAGTTGATCTAAGTCCTTACAACTCGAAGATCTCAAACTTTGTCGAGGGAACGTCGAGGATGCTAAATTTTCCATGCGAGTTTTACCTCTTGAAAGACAATATCTCTCTAATTTTGCAAGATCTCGAAAAAAGGAAGACAGTTTTGGAAAGCGGAAGGTTTGCGCTTTCTAACAGCCTGTTTAGCTTTCTTCTACATTTCCTAGTTGAGGAGATATTTGCGTCGAGGATCTATCGAGGATGGATCTCGGCCACCTAAAAAGCCGCTCCCTTCTTCACCATTGCAAGTGTAATTGTTGGCAACGCTCGAAATGTGTCTAGAATAAATTCTTCCAGAAACGTAAGCGACAAGTCAAATAGAGGGACACATCGTCCATCGTCGACTAAACCTGCAAAGAATATTCAATATCATGTTTTCTCACAAGTTAGTCGCCATAGTTAGTTAGAATAATCGTACCAAATTCACGACCCGTAAGATAAAATTGCGCCAAATGCGACTGACAATGAGATGAGTTTTCCGTTTCTTTGACAATTTAATAAAAGGCTTATCTAATCATCTGATATCTCGCTGCCTCAGTTTGTCCGGGATAATTACATTCTCGAAGCTGTTTGTGATCCTTAGGAGTACAGTAGTCTCAATGAGAGTGATTACTGTCATAATATCATCTTCAAGACGTGACACCCTTTTTGAATGGTCGTATAAAGTTTATCTGTATCCGAATTAATTCCTATTCCCCGAAAACTATTCTTCGGGACAATTAGACTCGAAAATATGCGAATTAGCTGACATTAACTCGTATTCACTTCGGCTGAACCTGACATTTACCTCCTACTCACTTATCTGTTACATGACGTCGACGATGGCTAATTGATCTTCGAACGCTTTTTATCGTCGTCAACAAAAAGATCAGAGGTTACTTTTACCAAACCATTCACAGAAATCGAAGGTTACTACTGAAAACTGAGGGCTACTATTAATAGAATTGAGTACTGGTAGAGCTTTGATCAGTAGTCTATTGAGTCGTGAGGCGCATGGCGGGTCTCATCCAGTAAGGGGGCATGTGGTGCGACAGTTCATATTGCATGAAGTAATCCACTTTTTCAGGGAGGGAAGCTCCGGGGTGGGTGTAAAAGTTTAAGCGAAATGGTTCACGCACCCCGGGGATTCCCTCCTTGCAAAAATTGGAATTTCTGTAGCCGGCAAGAACTGTCACACCACATGCCCCCCCCCCCTCCCCCATTGCCGGATGAGGCCCCGCATAGCTGAACGAGAAGCTTTGATGTGCATCTTTAAGCTACATATCCAGATATTTGGAAGCGAGGACCAAAAGAGCGCTCAATGACAGCTTTAGCATGTCGTTTTCGCGCTAGATTTGGGAAAGAGGAGCCTGAACATTCGGTGATTCTGTGGTTTACCTGAGGCCCTCCACCCCAGTAGTGAGGCTAAGACCCTTATTGATTGTTTTGAAGGCTTAGAGAAGTGATTGATAGAAACCTTAGGACATATGAGACCGTTGCGAATTTATGTGATCCATTCACATATAGTATCAGTTGGCTGAAGCGCTTGACGTTGATCAGTGCCTTCAGGATACGCCACGCACTCGATATGTGTTTGGAACCGCAAAGACATTCGGATGCGTCTTGTGCCATTACAGTGATTCGCGATGACTACCCAGTTTTGCGGTCAAGTTCTGTGCTTTCACCGGAAAGTCTGCCGACAAGAGAGTGAACAACTACGCGTGCTTCGCAAGTAATTTCTCCTTCAACTCCATCGAAATTTGTCATTCTCGATCCAATGCGTCCAACGGCTACCCCAGCTCCATAAAAATTCAGAAGGTGTGCGTCATTCAATTTCACGGTCAATATAGCCCCGAAAAAGGGCTATGCTTGTTCACCTCTATAAAGCGAGCATCACTCTTCCTTATAGCTTCCATATGAAAGGTTTTTGAAAAAAATGTCGTGCTCGCTCCCTCCTTCACGGCTCATCCGCCTTCTGACTATTCATTATAGGGCGGTTCCAAGCAAATGAGCCGAAAAGGCGAAATTGCCTCGCTGAGAAAATTGAACGGCTAGACCACAGAGAAGCAAGCAGCCGCTTCAAAAATTCCGCCTTCTCATTGAATTGCAGTGAAGTAATGGCTAGACGGTCTTAAGAGCATCTATTTTAGGTCTGCAAATCTAGTCCTTGAGCAAAACTGATCAAAGATTGCATCACTTCGTTAGGAACTGCAGAAAACTTGAGACGTCATGCAGAAACCGTTCAGGTGCACCCCAGGCCCTTTCTCCAACTGAAGTTTTTTGCAATACCAAAATATTCTGACCTTTCGCATAATTAATCTAGTAGGTGGTATATCATGCAAAAACGTGTAGAGTCACCACCGGGAATATGGTAAAAAGGCAAATATGTAGTATGACAAATAATAGGAGTATGCACCTATGTGTTATATCGAAACCCCTTACCTATATGGAACCTGCAAAATGCATTGTAATATGTCGGTAGACACAAGGTATTATTGCGCCTTTGAAGTGCTGGGATCAACCTGCAAGGGCCCAGGACTCAGAACGCTCAAAAATCAGAATTTCAAAATTTTAACAAGCTGCACTTATATGGGTCCGAAGTGAACTTAACGACACCTGACATTTGGATAGCTCCATAAAGGCAGCGATTACGATAGGTTCAAGAAGGGTTTAGAGGAGACGTGGTGGTGCTCAATGGTACGTCAGTGGCAAAAAAGCGGAGAAATCCGTAAAAAAACGCAAAATGGACCCCTTTTTTGGCCGTTGGTTTTCACTCATGAACAGGTGACAGCTCAAGAAACGGGCGTATGAACGAGTTCATCGCAACGCGTTTGGTGCCACTGCCACTGCCACTACTATGCCAAACCACGCTCCAATCGAGTTGCTCCAGTTGTGCCGCTGCAACGCAGCTCGTCCAAATCACCAACTAAACTAGTGGGCGGATCGCTTTTGGGGCGGAGTGCTTTCGAAGTCCTGCTCAGCAACCAGCGCGCCTTCCGTGAAAGCGCTACATCTCGCTTCCCTTGGCAAGCCAAGTGACCGTTTCATGTGGTGCATATGCCTCCCCGATGCGCTCCCACTTTATCGTAATCGCTGCCTTTATGCGGATCGAGGCTCTGCACCAAAATTCGTGAAAGGTTTCAAAATTAGACACCAAATTGACGGAGAGAGAATTGAAGATGGATTCAATATTATTTTTTATTTCAGTGTGATGATGTTTAGTTGGTCTTTACAGTTAGGAAACAAACTGATCAGTCATTCATGAAAATTCAGAGTTTACTTGAGCTTCCGTAGCTTTTGCCCACTTTGTAAAACAGTGAATGAGTTCTAATTGCAGCTCTAGAGCGGTACGAAAACTCCGCTTCTCTCCAAAAACGACATAAAGG